TCCTGGTCAAGTCTTAGAGTCCCTGTTCCTGGTCAAGTGTTCGTGTCAGGAGTTCGAGTTTGTGTGTCCAAGTCCGAGTTTCCTGGTCCTAGCTCAAGAGACCCTCATCAGTCAGAGTTGTGCCGCCTAACTGAGAGGCCCCTGCTCTGCAGCCCCGGACTGAGTTGCGTGTTTCCAGTTTTTGAGTGTCCTGTCGAGTTTCGGTGTCCCGTGCCTGCTGCTGTCGAGGTCCAGCGTAATGCTGTCGAGTTCCGGTGTCCCGCGCCCGCTGCTGTTGAATTCCAGAGACCAAGTTCCCATGTCCAGTCTTCCAGTTTCCCGAGTCATGTGTTCCCGAGTTCCAGTGTTTTCAGGGTCTCCTGTGTTGTGTGGCTTTGTGGGCATCTGGTATCCGCCCCTTGTGGGGGGGGGGGGGGGGGGGGGGGGGGGGTGTACTGTCATGATTCGCCTGGCCTCCCTGACTGTGTCGCTCCTTCCGTAATTAGCCTTATTGTTCTCACCTGCCCCTCGTTAACCAGCCCATGTGTTCCCTGATTGTTCTGTGTATTTATACCTCCCTCTTTGTTCCTGTCATTGTTGGATCATTGCGTTGTCTTCGTTGTGTTCGTGCTTGTGCTGCTACCATTAAATCCATTTTTATTTTTTCATCCGTGCCTGCTCTTCTGCCTCCTGAACCCTCCACCATACATGGTCTGCCATCTCCACCCTCACCTCATGACAGTCTCCCCACACGTAGGTGGAGGGAGGCTACCTTCTCATTCACTGGAGTAAACCCCAATGCACAGGCACCAAGATGGGGGCAACTAGTATGTCCACCCCTGCTCGGCGCCTCTCAGTGGGAGCATCTCCAGAGTGGTGGAAAGTCCAACCCCTCTCAAGGAAACTGGTTCCAGAGCCAGAGCCATGCATTGAGGTGAGTCCGACTATATCTAGTCAGAACCTCTCAACCTCACACACCAACTCAGGCTCCTTCCCCACCAGATTGGTGACATTCCATGTGCCAAGAGCCAGCTTCTGTAGCCGAGGATCAGACCGCCAAGGTCCCCGCCCTCGACTACCACCCGTCACACACTGCACCCGACCCCTTTGTCCCCTCCCACAAGTGGTGAGCCTATGGGAAGGGTGAACCACGTTTCCTCTTCGGGCTGTGCCCGGCCGGGCTCCATGGGTAAAAGCCCGGCCACCAGGCGCTCGCCAATGTGCCCCACCTCCAGACCTGGCTCCAGTGGGGGGCCCCGGTGACCCACGTCCAGGCGAGAGAGCATGATTTCCATTTATGTAATTCATCATAAGAGGTCTTCGGGCTGCTCTTTTTCTGATCCCTCACCTGTTTGCCATGGGTGACCCTTCCCAAGGCAGAAAACCTCAGACAACTTAGCTCCTAGGATCATTGAGACACACAAACCCCTCCACCACAGTAAGGCGCCCAGGGAGAGAGCAAGGGGCAGCATGGACAAACACATGTTCACCTCGTGATTTGTAGGACATCCGGGGAGTGCAAAGCAGTAGATGGTCAGCTGACCTCAACATACGAGTAGGTACATAGGGAGTCAGCAGGTCGGACAGATAAGCTAGGTCGTGTAGGGCTTTAAAAACAAACATCAATATCTTAAAACGCACACGGATGGGGAGCCAGTGAAGATGTTTCAGGACTGGTGTAATATGGCTACGTCGACTTGTGTTTGCTAAAAATCTAGCAGCGGCATTTTGGACAACCTGCAGCCGGTTCAGGGCATAGACAGGAGTTCCAACTAATAGTGCATTAGCGTAGTCCAAGCGAGAGGTGATGAAAGCGTGGATGACTGATTCCAAGTGCTTCCTCTTTAAGATCGGTCTTAAACGAGTTAGGCGGGGTGACTGATAAAAACAAGACCTCACCACTGAGTTGATCTGAGGAGTCATAGAGAGGTTGGCATCCACCCCGAGGCTTATTACACACTGTTTAGGGTGTAAACCATCAAAAGTGGAATAACAGCCAGAAGGATTGAGGGAATAAAAGATAATGGGCTCAGTCCATCTACTTAACAAAAGTGATTTTTACTTTAGCTATCTTAAGCCCCAGCATGATGTAATGGAGAAGGCACCGAGCTTGAAGCTGTAAAACCACGTGTTTGTGTTTGATGAGATTATAAACGAGTCAGCTCCCACAGGTCTGTGAGGACATGAGTCTTTACTCCCACTGTCTGATGATACTTGTAGGTTTTAGTTTAAATTAAATCAGTTCCACTCCAATAAAATCACTTTCTAAAACAGATGTGAGTTTAGCCCCACTCATTAGTGTTATCAGTCACCACAGGCTGAGGTGTTTCCACAGCTGCTCAGTGAGGACCTGCTGCCGTCTGCTGACTTTCTCATGTGGATTTTACTGGACAATAAACAGCCCGTGGCAATAGGAACTCTGTGATCCTACATCAACTCCACATGTGGTGATAAAGTGTCCTGCTGCAGCAATAAGTGCTACAAATTTTCTATCAGGATAGCTTTGGTGTAAACGGACACCATCCTTCTGCCAGAGGACATAACATCAGGTCTTATCTGTAGGAAGCTATGCCGCTAAGCTGCTAACAAGGCTGATATATTCAGTTATATGTGGTTTCTGACCATGACCATGGATGGTCGATGTAACGGAAATGTCTCAGTGTCTCATGATTAGTAATTATTGTGTTTGTTAAAACCACAAGAACATATGGAAATGTCAAAAACAAAGCACTCTAATAACAGGTTAAACTTTATTTTAAGGCAAGGAATCAGTGAGCCATCATGAAAAAGATCTTTATCCTAACATCTCCTCAATTATTGCCAAAAACATTTAGAGATCTGAAATGTGGAGAAGACATCTTCTGGCATCAGTTCACTTCTCTGGTGAACACATGCTGTCTCAGGAAAAACACACATTTATCTTCATTTCATTTGAATAAACTCACTTCTGCGAACTGAGAAGGCTTCTCAGATGAGAAGTAAAATGTTTCAAAGGACAAGAAAATATGTTCAGTCCCCTGATAAAAAACCAAGGGCATCCCAGAAGTTTCCGGAACATCACTTGGTTTATACTTTCTGACACTTTTTCCTGTAATCTGCTGCAGCAGGGGTGACTTCTAGATTTATCCGTGATGCATTAATGTCTCTCTCTGGATTACAGCAGACACGGATTTAATCTTTGTCTCAGTCACAACGGTACGTTGCTAGTTAAGAAACTGCATGTGCATTTTATTTTGGAAGTTGCCAGATGTTTAAACTACTTCTGTGTTTGATTTTCTGTCTGTCCCCATCTTAACCACAGATGTCATAGACACCACATGAACTGGTGCTGCCTATTGGAGCTGGTGTGGCAACGGGATGCCATCTTGGATGGGTTCCCATTCACCCTACATGCCATTTTTTCTGTTAGGCAAGGTGTTCACCCAATTAAAAACACATTTATTGTGATTTTCACAAAATCAGACATAAAACATGGCATGATAGTTCAAAAATAAAATAAAATAAAATTAAATTACATTATTAAATAAAGAGGTAAACTAGAAAATTCAATAGTAATCCCATGTGCTCTGTTTTCAATAGTACACAAAACAGGCAGTTGCTCACTATGTGTTGACTCTAGTTGGGTTTGGATAGAGTGAGGAACCCATCCAATATGAAGCTGTCACGCTCTCAAGCACCCAATGGGGCGTCTACGTATTCATGTCTATGATCTTAACTGCTGAGCTTGATGTGTTCTGGAAGCATGGATCATAAAAATAGACTGAAAGCATACATTTTGCGGATCACCGTGACACTGTGTTTCCAGGACTCGTTCGAGATGTGCTGCTCTCCCCTCAATGAAAACACACCCATTGGTTATAATTGTGGCTAATAGCTGCATTTTACATTGTAGATTTTACACAACGAATATGCATCTGGCAGAAAGCTGGGGTAACATTACTGAACTTTTCCTGACACGTCTGACCTGATTTTTAAGGCTGTAGCGAGTTTCTGGGGGACAGTGTATAGTTGATACAGTTTATGCTGCAAAGAAGGCAAGTCTTTAAGATCTGAGGCTTTATGGACAAACTATACCAGCACAGAAAAACTGGTTGGCTGGTAGCACTAAATGTGCTGCACAGGTCAGTTTTGTTAATTAGAAAGTGATGCAAAACATTAATGTTGCTTCCAAAAATGGGCAATCTCAATGAGAATTTGTACCTTTGTTAGTCAAAAGTCAGATAAGAGATTGATAAATGATCAGGGTGAGAATTAATGTGCTAAATGATCAGGGTGAGAATTAATGTGCTAAATGACTCTTAAGTTCAAAGTTTAAAAACCGTTTGTCAAAGGCAATCAGCTATAGACCGTATCACACATGGATCATCCAGATAACAGATCCATTAAGGCTACTTTTATATTTCAGATTTCCTCCTCTCCTTTATGGAGGAGGTCAGTGTGAACAGCAGCAGAAGATAAACAGAGATGAGATGACATCTCAGAGTTAAGAGGCCAGTAAATGTAGGCACGCTGTAGATTGATATGGGTTTCTTTTGGTTTTAATGAGATGGTGGGTGATGCAGGTTAGTGATAATATCAGTGAGTGAAGCAGTTTGGTTTCACTTGCAGCACACAATGGGAACGCTGGACTGTGTAATACTGGCAGGACTTTTTCACCACCTTTGACAGGTTGACAAGGTCATGCAGTCATGTGTGGAGGTAAACACACATTCCCTCTGTCCTGCTGACTTCATCCACCAGCATCCTCCTCACCAGCTCAATGGGTCATCTCACAACCATTAGTCCCACTGGTTCTGGTTCACCTATTCCAGGAATTCCCTGTTCAGATCACCAGGAAAGGAATCCCCTCTGTCCCTTAAGACAGCTTAAAAAAGCCTGTTCATTTTAGAGTGTCTGGGGATTGGGAAGGGGGGGCTCGTAAACCTGTCCCACCCAACGGTGTCCATTTACCAATGTAGTGTGAATCTCATGGTTAAGCATTCCTGGACAGTCCTTAAAAACAGTTTATGAGCAACCTGTCATGCTGGGCTGCAGCTTTTTGACCCACGACATGCAGAATCATGCACGGAGACAAAGGTAAGTAAAAAAGGTTTATTATAATGTACGAAGGAGATGATGGTCTGAGATCCGATGGTTCCGGTGGGGTTCTAGAACAGAGACTGGACTGAGTATATGCAGGTTTGACCGTGAAAGAAATGAGTTTGTAGCTTACAGTAGGGCTGTCGCGGTAACCGCAAAAATGAAATATCGCAATATGAAGAAGCCCACCGCGCTGCATCATGGGCCACCGCGATTACTGAACTTGGTTCAACTCAATGATGCATGTTGAGAAGGATGGCTGCACTGGTATCAAAACGAAACGTTACTTCGCTCCTGTGGGAGCGCTTTGGTTTTCAGTACGTCAGCTGCTGCGCAGCCAGAGTCCTTGGCCGAGACAGAGCTGCCACCAGCGGCAAAAAATAAATAAATAATAAACGCTCGGAGACCTGCTGAAGTCCCGGACAAGCACTGCTTCTGCAACCGTCCCGAAGAGAGTTTGAGCCGAGCTGGAGCTCACTCGCTACCTGCAGGTGGAATGCATCCACCCTAAAGAACCCCCCTGACATGGTGGAGTAACAACCGGGAGAGATTCCCTTTGCTCGCCAGAGTCGCACGCAAGTTGAGTTCGGAAGCGAGCGGGGCCGGACCGGAGCGGAGGGGAGCGGAGGTAGTGGAATTTGGGGTAAGTGCAACGAGCGCACCTCCGAGAGGGTTTTCAGTGTTGCTGCAAATGTTGCCACCCCTCTCAGATCCTCTCTCAAATCGTATATGGTTAACATGCTGGTTTTCCTTGTAGGTAACAAGGACGTGACCGAGCTATAAATCACCGTCATTCGTGTGTGTGAAAGTGAAAGTGAAATGATAGTGCGCCCGCCCCCCGGCGCGCGCGCGCCCGGTACATGTAATTTTTTATGCTTGTTTCTAAACAACTAAACACAATGGGGACTTGTTTCTTATTTGTTAGATGCTGCAGCCAAATTTGCATTTAAAAGTTTAACCTTCTCCTGAATTTTGTTGTTTTTAAGTTCAGTCGGACTCCGACTGTCGGAGAAACGAACGTTACTGCGATCTGTGTTGTTACTACCCTTTGATCTGCATTCAGTAAAGCGTTATAAAAGAAGGCACGGCAATTTTTAACCTTTTTTAAATGTGTAAACATTATGTTTAGATAGTACTGCAATAAAAAAAAGGACTGCAATAATATCGCATACCGCAATATTAAGCCACCCTGAATCACCGCAGGGGGAATTCCTCAACCGCGACAGCCCTAGCTTACAGTTTCCTGGTTGTTGGTAAGGCTGAGAGGGGTGGGCAAGTCACGGCTGGCTGAGCTGGTAGAGCGAGAGTCAGGTGAGGCTGGGAGCTGAGTACCAGAGTTGGAGATGTCCGAGCTGGCAGGTGGGGATTGGAGAGCAGGCGGTCAGGGGTGAGCGACGGGACTGGCAGACAGGGTTGGAATCCGGTGAGTCTTCTTGCAGCTGATGGAGGCTTGGTTGGTGGAGGAGAAGTTTCCTGAGGAGGTCGAAGGAGAACAGGACAGATAATCTCAGGAAGGCGAGATACACAAAATAACAAGTCTTCAGACATGAGCTAGGTGCTGGCAAAGTTCTACCCAATGCTGAGTATCATCCGGTACTGATGAGCTGTCCCAACGCTCCTTAAATCCCCTGACCACTGATGAACAGATAGGTAGCAGCTGCTCTCCAGCTGCTCTCCAGACACACCCACCTGCACACAGAAGACTCAGCACAACACAGTTAGATTCAGCAAAAACCATGACACAACCCCTGAGCCCGGGCTCATCAGAGGTTTACGGGGGTCCAATAAAAACACGGCTGTGGTTCAGAAGCTGTCTAATTCATCTCATTTATTTATTTATTACATCATCTTATTTATTTATTACATCTTGTGTCTGTACTTCTTGCATTCGTTTAATCCAGGCTTGATCATTGTAATATGTGCATATAGTGCATAGAAGATGCTTACAATCGGTTCATAATCTGCAGCTAGATTTCTGACGGAACGAGGAAAAGGAAACACATCACCCTGACCCCTGTGCTGGCTTCAGTGCACTGGCTCCCTGTAGGCTATTGGGCTAAGTTTAAGATTTAGTTGTTTGTTTCCTGGTCTCTACAGGGTACTACCCCACCATACTGCGTTACTAAAACAGCATACCCCTTCAGGATCTCTTCACTCAGCTGAGCTGGATTTGCTGATTGTTCCATGCTCTAGGCACAGGTCTGGTGATCGAGCTTTCTCGGCTCCTACTCTGGAATGAGTTTCCACTTGTTTCTAATCAGTCATCATCACTGCAGGTTTTTAGAAGCTGCTTGAGGACTCATTTTCATCGCTTGGTTTTTATGGAACATGGTTTTTGATCTTCATCATTTCTGTTTTAATCTTTTTAATCCATGTGTTTGTAATGCTGCTTTTATTGTTTTATTGCTCTCTGTTCATTCATGATTTTGGTGAATGTCATGTTCAGCACCTTGGGCTCCCACAAAGGCAGTGCAAGGCACTATATAAATAAAGCTTGGTTGGTTGGTTGGTTGGTAGGTCTGTCAGTCGATTGATCAAAGAGAATTCCAATTCAACATTCTACCCGATTATTACTTATTGAAACTTTTGATAATGTTGACAAAAGTCTCAGAAACCCCAAAGTGGGTTATTTATTTACTCATTTAGTGCATTTTATTTCCAACCAATCCACTCATCAGTTGGACATCAATGTGATGAATATTAGTCCAAATTAAAGGAAAAACTGGAACCAACAGAGAAAAGATCTAAATTGCTCAGAATTAACAAGGTTTATTCTAGTATTCTTTTTATTTATTGTGTCTGATCCTTCCTTTGTCATAATGTCCAATCCAACATTTTCCACTGCTTTCTTACCCCCAGACTCACAAATTGGAGGTGATTGTTCCAGATGAAATGACTGAATGTGTCCAGGGCTGTCCGTAAAAGTTGGATCTGGGGTCACTGCCACAGGTTTATGCCTCTGATTATGGTGAACCTAAAATATGGCGGAGCTGGGTATAAATAAACAGTGAGTACTCTTTATTTATAGTGTTGAAGTCTTTGTGATTTAAGTAAAAAGTCTGCCATGGTTAGAGCTGCGTAAAATTAATATTAAACATTCATTTTTCCTCCTTCACAGAAAGACTCGTCTGCAACTTGAAGCTTTAAACTAAATTCACCTGATGTTTCAATACGCTGTACTGATGTTTTCTATGTATTAAATGGTTTTGCTGACCCTTCTCAATCTCTTTAAAGGAACTGCCATAAATTGTAGAATCATTTCAATTCACTTCAATATGTATGACATAGCTCTCCTTAAGTTTATAATTGTGTTGATTTAACAGATTCCGTTCTCTCACTTGTATTTCTGTTAAATGCTGTTAATGTCATCTTGTTTTATTTTATTTGTTCTTTATTATTTTACTGATTTTTTGTAATACACTTTGAATGGAATGATTCTTTGGACGAAGTTATCAGATAGACAAACGAATGCAGCACCTCATGCTGTGTTCTCACTTCATCGTGCTGATTCTGAACCTTTCCAACCTCATCGTAGAGTATTATTATTTTTCTTGTTAGATGCTTATCATTTTTGTCTTTAGTTGCTTGATTTGTACCCTATTGGTCCTTATGACTACCAAGATGATCGCCTTTCCTTGTTTTACCCCTTCCCTGTCCCTTGAGTCATGATTGGTGACAAGTTATGGAAGTGGGTAGAATTTCTTATTGTTTTACTCATTTGTTCTTTGTTTTGTTGTTTTCTTTTTGTTTGGTTATCCTATTCGGATAAACAGGAGGACTTCTGTTATGGAAATTTTATATTTCATTGCTTAATCCTGTTAACAAATGTCCTGAAGCATTCTCACACTCAGACACACACACACACACACACACACAATCTCTCTCTCTCTCTCTCTCTCTCTCTCTCTCTCTCTCTCTCTGTCTCTCTCTCTCTCTCTCTCTCTCTCTCACTCCCATTTCTTTCTTATCTTTTTGTTTAAATAAAGTCTGTGACCAGATGCTCGGGGCATTTTGCCTCGGGCATATGGTTGACTTGTTGCTTAATGTGTCTCTCCTTTTCTCTTCGATCAGGAAATGGGTTATTGGAAAACATACTGATGAAATCCATAACAGTCAGCATACTCTGACCTCCTGTGAAGATGAGTAACTGTCTTCAATGCTAGTTTTCTTCTAAATGTAGGATGGACTCCAGATTGTTTGGACTTGGCCTTGCACGTCCTCTGAGATTAATGGCAAGCAGCGGTTGCATCGCTAATCTCATTGGTGATGGTTTCACTCCTTGACTTGGTGTTATAAAACATCTGAATGTTCCAGACTAGAAAACTGTCCAAACAACAACTTTTACAGAGTGGCTCACACTTGATGATCATTTAATCAGGTGTGTTTGATAAGCAGCACCTGGCTGCGGTTTGCCCTCCCAACTTTTTGGAAACATTCTTATTTTTTCTCCTTGTTCGTCTGATGCTTTCTCCTGAGGCTCCAGACTGCCCCTGCAGAGTGACCTCATCAGTCTGTCCTGTCTCCAGGTCTTCGTCCAGACCAGCCTTATCTATCAGCTCAGTCTTCCAGTTGTCACCCTGAGCAGCTTTTTCTGACCCTGCAGGTCTCCAGTCCTGTTCCTCCTCCTGGTCCTTCAGAGGCGTCTCATCATTCTGCTGATTTATTGAACATTGCTGCTCCGGCTTTTCTCCAAGATTTCACCTTCAGTAATTTTCTGATTACCAGTCATTCTTCAGCTGGGCCAATACCCTGTTGTACCCACGGTATATCAGCCAATGTATCACATCTTGATAAAGAAAGTCCAAAAAGTTTTAAACTCGGCTCAAAAAGACACCTTATGTAAGACAGCTGGTGTTGAGACAGGAAGTCACTCTACACGTGTTGTTTGCATGACAGGACCTTTTAATTCTCCCCTCTCTGAACATTATATACCTTTTTCTGTTACTCCATAAGGTTCTTGCAGCCATGCATGTTCCTTTATGTTCTGTACAGCTGTAAAAATAAGAACTGCACCTCACTCTGGGACTATTAATCTCAATTTTCTCCCCTCGGAAACAAAGATGAGATCAATTCTGGACGTGAGGAGATGCAACAGAATGTGTCGACATGAAGCATGCATGAGGTTGTTTTATTGTGCATTTAGGAAGTAGTTATGACTGGATTCATTACACAAGAACACACTGAATTCAAATCAAAACACATTTGGTGCCAGATAACTTAATGCTTCTGTACGACTGTATCTTTGGTCATATGTAGGCTGAGAGGCCGCTGATTAAAGCCCATGAGGGAGAGGCAGCTGCACTTTCACACAGTTGGTTACAATAAAAATGTTTCACTTACCTCAAAACCTTCAAGCGTCATTCTCAAAAAACACAAGAACCTCCATTTCTGCACCAAAATTTGGTTTTGTGTGATTTCTTAATAGTTTATTAGAACCTAGTCTTACCCGCGAAACGTACTACGCAGCAATTAGCCTCCGTTATAGTGAATGGGTTCTTTCCACCGGCAGCTAAGTGTGACGTTTTGGGTGCGCCCTAGAAGCGAGGGGACGCTATTACGTTTCAAGTCTATATTTTTTACACGCTACGCTCCCAAAATACGCCAAACTTCGCAGTTTAGATCATGCCAGACAGGAAGTCAAACTCAAAAGCTGTGTGAAACATCTGGAATCTTTCAAAATAAAAGTCAAATGCAGGTAAACATACATCATTTCCTGTTAAAATCCACAAAGCCAAGATAAAACACAGCAAAAAGTAAATCACAGACCTTTTTTGATACATGCAGCTGCCTTTCTTATTGCTTATTATTATGTGTGGGCATCTGAAATCACCATCGACATACATATATGGGCAATGGGTTTCCATAGACTCCAATAATAAGTTTTTGTACTAAAATGGGAGGTGGCCACCACCGCCATTTTGACCGTGTCACAGGTTCCGTCAAGCCCAGACAATTCCATAAAAGGGAAGAGAGGAGGAGCTGAGGGTGGGGCTGTAAGGCTGGGATCGACTGACGACACCCGGTCGAACTAGCTACAAGCTAACCCAAAGCTAATGCGGAGGTGGGAGCTAAGCTAACGGAGGTAGCAACCTAGCTACAATCGGAGTTAACTGTGCACCACACCAGAGCTTCTGAGTCAGAGATACGCCGGGCTGACCGCTGGGTAAAACCGGGTGGAACACAAAGGTCTCCGAGAGCTTCACAAGCCGGCAGCCGCACAGCAGACAAGCGCTGCTGAGATCTGAGATGCGCAGAGCTGCCGCTGGGGAGAACCGGGAGGAAAGGTTTCCATCCCAGAGCTCCACAAGCCGGCAGCCCGCGCAGCAGACAGAAGCCACAATCAGACAGAGATGCGCCGAGCTGCGGGGAGGGGATAAGGGTGGAAAACATCGGTCTCCCGAGAGCTCCACAAGCCGATAGTCGGAACCCAGCTCCACCAACATGTTATATTTCAACCCATTTTCTAAAGTGCAGCATTATGTTAAATGCACTGGGTTTTACTCTATTACATTTAAATTTCATGGTTAAACAGTGCATGTTAAAATCTAAGCTCAGCTCGGCAGTGACCTAAAATACATAAATATAATTTTACTTACCGAAAAAAATGAGGTGGAGACTTCTTGGACGTTCTATTAATGCAATTAATGCCAGAGTAAGTCATTTTGTCCAACAATTGCACAAAAAATATCCAAAAAAAGAAATCACAAACACAGAGACTCAAAATCCCGGAGCAGTTTCCAAGCCAGACCGAGGCTCTACTGAGGCCTTTCCACGGAGCTAGCTCTGCGGTCACGTGGGTCTGATGCTCATTAATTATACCGAATTTTAGGCTTTTAATACACTTAAACAGAAGAGTGAGAAAAAATTCACCCCCCTCAGAGTTGTCATGAGTGTAAACTAGATAATTGAAACAAAAAACATGTTTTGGTACCAGGCTGTAAACATGTTTATATCTGCTGTGAAATTGGTATTTTTAACATGGGAGTCAATGAGGATTTGCTCGTTTCTGACACCAGCCCCCAGCGGATGAGGGTGGAACTGCAATTTTGGTACTTCCGAGTTGAGACCAATTTCTGAGCCGCATTGTGGGGGCTTGGAAATCATGCGTGGTGTTGAAATTCTCCCGTGATTTTTGTGACATCACAGAATCAGCTGCGTGGAATGCTTTCGCTCCTGTTTTGCATCAGAATTGTTCCCGGTTGGGAAAGAGCTTGCGGGTAGAATGCCACTATTACGTTATGCAACTGCTTTCATGACCTGTGAAAAAGGTCGTTTTCTCTGGAGACTTAGTTTAGATGACTAAAAGTTTATTTCTAGGCTCAAACAAGGCCTTAATGTAAATGTTTTACCACAGGTTGAGTAAATTTAGGACATTATGACGTGTGGATGTGTTATGTATGAAACAGACCTGCACAGTGACATTTGTAGTAAATAATATAATAAAATGTTGCTTTTGCTTATGGACCATTTACAATGGTCTGTCTCCAGTCATAGCAAATGAAATTCACAATAAGAGCTGAAAAAATGTATTTATTTATTTATTTTCTCACTTTTGTTTCAGGAGCATATTTTATACACGTGTCTACAATTTCAAGGCTCTAATTGAACTTGCTAACCCTTGCATCATGTGAAACTGTCCCAACATTTGTAATTTTAACATGAACCAAAGCAAAATTGGTGACTGGTGAGACTAAGCTGTTATAAAGTCTTTGAGATTAATAGCTTCCTGTTACTTAAATACATTCAGAAATGATCATTCATGAAGCATTTTAGTAACCAGGGTATTATTTAAATGGTTGATTTCCTTTTGTCTCAGGCTTTAAGCAGGCAGGAGAAATGTTTGGAATGCCCCTACCCTCCTCATACGGCAGTCTTCATCTGGCTCGGTCTTCGAGTCAAGACTCATTTCAATGATTTGGCTTTTAAATAATCAGCTGTTTTTATGCTTGTTTTTACTGTCTTGTGCTTATTTATTTTTTGGCAGTTTTATTTGTTTTGACTGCTTGTTTTTATTGAACTGTTTTTATTCTGTTTTATTATGTCCTTCTGTAAGGCGCTTTAGTCAGCTCTCACATATGGTATGGTATGGTAAATGTTTGGCTCACAGAAAAGTCAGCCAGTCTCACAGGAAGAACTCCAAGAAAACAAAAAAAGGTTCAGTAATGTTAGAAAATCATAGGAGTTGATCATGCTTCATCATAAAAGCTACAATAAACTGGTACAAAATCAGTTTCTGGGATTGCTGATGAAGAGTGGCTACCTGAGATTGCGGAAAATAATCCCAACTGGGGATTAAATGAAATAGGGAATAAGTGAAATCAGGACTATCTGCAATACCACATTAAAATGCTTATTGAATACAAATCTTACCCTGTGTCCCACTAAACGATATTATATAACTCTATAAATGAACTCGACGGTAAATGGCAACAAAAGCGATTCTCAGACTAAAGTTTAGATTCATAAATTCTCCATCGTCTGTATTTTTTTGGACGTAAGTAACTGAGGTTTTAGATTTAACACCATCACTGCTCTGACATCACCTGTGTGACCTTTACACTCACTTGTTTTAACAGGCGCACTTACTGCTCTATGTAGAGGACCACAGACAAAGGATGTTAGGGAGGATTTGTGCCTGCCACCTAGTTATTCCAACAAGGGTTCTGTGGAAAGATCCTGACAATTTGGGGAACTACCGCCACCTACAGGCTTCACACACCTATGAATGTGCTTCTCAGTGCACTGGATTGTATTAATCTACTTTTCTATTTTGCTGAAAACAAAATTTGTTTTCTAGATGGGTGGGGAAGGAGATTTGGTTTTCCAAAAACCCAGCTACGTGTGTACATGACCTTACACTGTTTCCAGGAATGTAGTAAGATATTTTTCATTAAAATTAAGACTTTTTTTTACCCTTTTTTGAGATTTAAATAAACATTTTTGATGTTGTTAGCTAAATTTGGGGGTTTCACTGAAGTTAGAAGTTAAAAAAGAACGAAACAATTTTCCAAACACAGTAAATTGTGTTAAACTTTCATCTGAATAGCAAAAGTTAGAGCATCTACAGACTTTTTTTTCTTCAAAACGATGTAATGTTCTCTAAGCTTTGGCTGTTTCTCATTAGCTTTCACAACATATTCTCAAAGAAACCAACTATTTGTTGCTAAAGACAAACGTGATGTTTCCGTTGGTGTGAGGAACTCCAGCTGCTGCTGGTGCAACAGCACCTCAGCCATCACAACACAATCCAGTCATCCCTTTACCTAAAGCCATGATAAACACACGTCATGTTCCTAATAACACTTTCTCTAAATACGTGTGTGTGTCCCAGAGCCTGACCCTTTGCTCCTCGTAAGTGGATCATAACTCTCACCTTAAAGTCATTTGGCTTTGGTTTTACAGCCTTTGAAGGGTCGTAAGACGGAGCACCCGGCTGTTGTCTGCACCAATCAGAGCTGATCTGTAACATTTATCAGCTCGGTGCATTGGTGATAAGATTAGAGTGAGGACAAAGAGAGGGAAACAAAGCAGGTCAGATTGAAAAAGAGACGGGGTGATGTGAAACAGAGAGAAGAGGCAAGGGAGTAAAACTACAAATGTTTATAAAACAGTTTCCTGCGGTGATAATTGAGCTCAGATGGGATCAAAAAGAAACTGCCTGGTCATGTGATAGAGCGTAGGCAATAATTAAATAGCATTTACGTTGTAGTTTGTTCATTTGTGTTTTCTGGCTAAATTTCAACTTGAACAGCTTTTTTATTTGCAGTCTAATGATTTAAATGGTTTTGTAGCCAACTGATCGGAGACAGATGGAGGCACTGATTGGACAAAATGGCTGATTTGTGAGTAATGAAGCTGATGAAGGAGGTTATAATCATGGGAAGAGAGATAAACATGGAGAAAGGAACAGTTGTGAGAAAAGATCTAAAAACGCTGTTAGACGATGAGGTGGTAAAGGGATGTCAGGGTTTAATGAAGTCTTATTGACTTGAATTACATCCGTGTCGAGTCAGAAGACAGACACGGACCAGTTTCACTAGTGCGTGACTCAACTGCAAAGTTAATGTTAAAAACGAGAACTTAGCTTTTCCTGTCACAGACATTCATTACCTGAAATTAAAAGTGTGGGAAGACAATTTATTCAAAGTTTGGGTCTCGTGACAAATGTAGGAGTCTAAAACGGTCTAGAAAATGTGCAACGCTCAGCTGGTCTTTAGACTCCCGGGTGGAGCTCGAGGTGCTCTTAATAGCATTCCTCCAAAGTCTGAACATCACTAAAGGTGCATTCATGATCTGGTGCTTGAAAGTTAACCGTGGCCTCAGACAAGTGAAGCCCTGATACCTCATGTTTTTTGTTTGAGAGCTGCTAAGTCTTTGCGGCTCGACCACTGGAACGAGGTCTGAATGGCGTCTGTCTGCTTGTGTGAAGTGAAAAGAGCGCAGAAGAGGAGTCCTGGTTGGCATTTACCAAGAGACTCCCGAAAACCAACATCCTGAAGAGACGTTTGAATAGAAGCCAGCGTCTTTGTCCCTGGAAGTCATGAGGTCACTGCTCTCCTGGTCAAACTCAGTTGGGTTGGGTCCTTTCTCACTCAATCAGACAGACAAAATAACGGGACGGTTTCATAGTTGGTGTAAATTTCTAATTTCTTCTCTAATTTGACTTTTTAAGGTTCTAATTTTTCTAAACTTGAACACAGTCTAACAAACGAATACCAATATCGGCCAGTCAGTGAAGGCTCTTTGTTGTGTGTGTGTGTGTGTGTGTGTGTGTGTGTGTGTGTGTGTGTGTGTGTGTGTGTGTGTGGAGGGGGGGTTCAGCTCTTTGTAAACTACGCTTTGTTGAGGTGTGAAAAAGGAGCGCACGGACCATCGGAGACAGGAGTCTGCACCCCATCAGACCCACTAATCCTCAAACACGACGAGACTCTCCAGCAGATTGACAGGCTGATTGAGGTGTTTAGATTCCATTGTTGTTCTTGGGAGGATATTTTTCCTTCAGGATTTTCAGCATCAGCTGTGTTAGGACTGGATGTCGGAGTATTGAGTGTAAGAATTATTGCTTGGAGAGTTGTTGTTGGCTGCAAGCGGTCTGAGAGCTCATTGTCCAAATTCTGGAAAACTTCCTCTCTGCTTCTATTCAGTGTCTAAAAACAAAATCCAAGCTGCTACCATTTTTTGGGACGATATGCTCTAATTATCTCTCTTAGCACTCCTTTTTTAACATTTGTAATACTGTTTTTATTCAAATCTGGACCGAGTGTTCTCAGTTTAAAGATAAATGAATTTGGCACTAGTAAATCCACAGTGACCATATTTAGATGCCGGTTTCTTCTCCAGGGCAGCTTAATAATCCCAAAGCGGCGTTTGAATGCTAATCAGTGAAAACCCTCCACTGATTAAAGCAAACATCGTGATGGTGATGCAACGTTTATCTGGAAGTGGATCAGCATCCGACTGCATGACTGTGTGAAATCGTGCTCTAGTTTGACATCTCCAAGGAGGTTTCAGCGTTGAAGATCCTGTTTAATGAGGCTTTCTGTTTTTCAACAGCCAGGAGGAAACGAGAGGATTTCCTTCAGTTTTAAGGAAACTTTTTCAAATATATAAAAGAAACTTGACCAGTTTTCTTAAAGAGGAACACGTGAAGTCGTTTTTATAGTCTGATAATGAGTCAAAGCAGAAGTGTGTGTGTGTGTGTGTGTGTGTGTGTGTGTGTGTGTGTGTGGGGGGGGGGGGGTGATCTGTATAATGACAATAAAGTGGTGTTTAAGGGTTATTGCAGGGTTATAAGGGCTCTGGTGGTAGTGGTAAAACATGTCAGGGGAAGATTAGAAGGCCTTCAGCTTGTAATCCATGTTACCTTCTACTTATCATATTGCCACTCAAATCAAAACACACACACACACACACACACACACACACACACACACACACACACACACACACACACACACACACACACACACACACCAGTGACAACTGGGATTCTCTAAATCTCTTCTAGTTGTAAAGCCCAGAATGTATTTTGACTATAACTTGAAAACGTTCTAATTTTAATCTAAAATGCTCAGGAGGTAATTTGTAATTTTTTTTGTTTGCACAATAAAATATACATTAAAAACATGAGAATAACAAATATATTGAAAAAAATACAGCGCAGGAGGGGGCAAAAAAGCCAAATTCAGCTTGTCTAAAGCCTCCACCTATAGTTCATAATCTAATAAAATTTGCAAGTACTAAGTTGTTTAAAACATTACTAAAATATAAAGGCACAAACAAGCAAATGAAAAGTGGATAAGTGCATACAATTGAACTAAAAAAATTACCAGACCTTCAATACCTTCAAACAGAATACAACTAGAAAAAATAAAAGTTACTAAACATGCTCTTCCTGTATTAGATGGCTTTTTAACTGCTTTTTAAATACTTCCACAGTAGAACACCGGGTTGCCAGATGAGAAAAACGGTTCCACAGAATTGAACCCTTATAACGTATGGAAAGTTGTCCTTGACAAGAAAGATATTTTGGGGGGTGAAGACACATCAACTGTCGTGTATTATGTGAATGAATGAGTGAATTAGCTCTAAAGAAAGTTTTGAATTGTTTGGGTATTTTACCATTTGTCAATAAAATCCTATAAATGAAGACACAAATTTGGAGAATATTCAATTCATAGATAGTCAGTATATTTGGCCTCTGAAA